AGGATTGGGTGACACCACATGGAATCGAAGGGCGTTGGAAAAACTCTCGCCTACTTGGAATGGAAGGGCGTTGAGTACCTGAAGAAGACGGAATATCTAAGTGTGTCACCTGACCTGAACCCCCTCAATTACCCGGTTCGGGCGGAGCTCAACAGGGTGGTCTACAGTGGCGGAGAAATCAACGATCTCGCTGAACTCACGGTCGCGTGGCAGAATCTCTCGATGGCGCTCGTCCAGAAGGCTGTGGCGGAGTATCATGATAGTGTACAATGTGTTGTTGAATTGGGCGGTGAAAATGTCCAATCAGAATTTAATGAAATGTAATTTAGATCGCCTTTGAGTCGAGGAAAAAAAGTGACTTCCCCCATGTATAGAGATGTGCATTCTCCTCATGGGATATTGATATATCCATGTTGTGTGCGGTCCGGCCTGATGGGGGCATCACTGCCGGTCCCCATCGATCATTTCCGATGCCTCCTATGAAGACCTCTTCATTCTCGTGAGGCTGTACAGTAGCAGGAGCTTCGTTTACAATTGAAAAGATTTTGTAGGTCTCAACAAGGTGAAACGTAATCCAACAGGAACTACGATTGAAGCTATCGAGAGCGCTAAATGCCCCCATGAACCAAACTGCGCCTTACGGAATGTAGGCAGTGAATTTCTCTGGGACGAGGGCACTATAGGTAAATATGGCAGCCACTGTATGTAGAGAACACACAGTGCCTGTCTCCAACACAGGGCACGTTCTACCGTTAGGGTAATTTTTTTCAAAATACGACCCCACGCTAAAAAAGTTCTCCTTCTGGCACTCTCTCCCCGCTCCCTTTTACTAATCCTACCTGCCATCTTTCTGAATTCTTCCAGATTCGTACCACTTCTCCGTAGACTTCTTCTAAAGAATTTTGAGGGAGGGGATACAGGGCACACGCCCCGCTCAATGCGGGCGTGTCCCCCTCTTGTCAGCCGCTGGCTCTCGTTAATTATAATCTACCCTTCTTGAGGGGTGGGGCTAGCATAGGTCGCGTGTGTCCTGAACATCTTGTCCCATGTTCTACCCTTCCCAATCCTGATTCAGCTTGCACAAGTGTCTCTCTGGTGAATATGATAAATTTTTGGCTGACAAACAAGCCAGATTTAAGTAAGTAAACAGATTGAGGAAGTTAAGGCAGGGATAATCGCTCCCACAAATGTTTTCAAGCTCACCGTGCACCAGTGATCCCTCGATTGAAAAGAATCGAGCCAAACAGCGATTGTTTCTCCGGTGGTATTGACGACAGGGTCATTGCTGAAAAACGGCTCTAAAAATGGTCATTTCGTGCTTAATTACATGAAAACGGGAGAAGTGAGATGTGTTTCAGGTGGTTCAAAATCTTTCGGCCTACTTCGAGGGTGAACGAATCCCAAGAACGCCAGCCATAAAAGGATAGCGATGAAAATAGCCCCTTACAAACAACTCGCCATTTTTCATGGGCGCTGAGGAGCGATAGTAGCTTTGGAAGGGCAACTAAAAGAATTTCTTTTGCAAAACTACAACATACCATAATGGAACACAAAGGACATCGTCTAAGCTTTGAGGGAACGGAGCTCCGGGAAGGCGAGCCAGTTTCAAGTACGGTAATTTTCTTTGGACGATGTTGGTCCCTGCTAGCACAAGAGTCCTGTAAATGCCCCTTCAACCGTTGATAGTGCCCAAAACAAAAAAATGAATTAAAAAGAAACCAGCTTTCCTAGTCAGTTTTCTAGCGTTGAATGTATTTGAAGCTCATCTCTACTAATATGTAGGTTGGCGACCGTCCATCTTTCTAGAGGGCCGGGGCTCGGGGCCTGTTCGGCGACTGGGGTAGGCGCAATCTTGCACATTCGCGAGCTTTAAGTTTCGGTGATTCAAAGTGACACTCTGGTGTAAACTGGAAAAAACTCTTGCGTAGCTGAGCAAAGCTCGTCCAGCCGCCATGATAAAACCTGTCAACTCTTGTAAGGCTCTCTCGATGGCTCGACAAGTCGATGGGAAGTGGCCAACAAGCAAAATGTCCCCCCCCCCCCTCGCCGACTGATCCGGGGTCTCGCCAAGGACGCAAGCGCTGCTTCTTGAAGCTAGCGTGAGCGGTGCGGCATTCCAGCATTACGACCATACAGCCCCGTTCTCATGCACTTGAAAAAGGACAAAGCACGAATCCTGTCTGGCAAGCTGCAATTGAACCCATTCATCTCCCTACATGGCAAGGACCAGGATCACATTTTCAAAAATCGTTCCGCGGACGGAAATGTATAATGGCAAAGTGCGCGCCAATGACGCATGAGCTTCGCCGGGCCTCGGTGTCGAATACTAGACTGAACTTTCCTTTGAGCCAATCAAAGCACTTGCAAACCTCTAGAACTGTCACATCGGACTGCAATCCTTGGTTCAGTGAGGTAGGCCAAAATCTGGTATCCATCTGGTACAATTTACTGGTCTCCAGGAAACGGGTAGAAGGCCTGCCTTGGCCTGGCTGGAGCAGTATACGGGCAGCACTCAATATCGATGAGAAATGGGATGATCTCATTGAGAGCGTTCCAGGAGATCTTTCTGCATTTTCTCTTCACAAGCAAGCCTCTTGGTACTTGCTGAGCGCATTTTTTATGTACACCGTACGCCCACATTCTGTTATCGTGTAATGTGCTTTTGAGCGGCTCAGCTATTGTTTCCCTTTCCGGTGACTGCTTGTTTTCAGCCCTCTGGTCGCCTTTATAATTGCTGAGACACGTGGTGGAGATAGATTCGACGGAAAGCGCAACTCGCGATTATGGGTCCAATTTTTCTAGTGGCTGTGACAATGAGTACAGCTAATTCCACCGTTCCCTTTGAAACAGCTGTTTTGTGAACAAATGGATTCCAGATAAGGAAAACGATACCTAGACTTATTTGGTTGTCATCGACATCATAGACACATTCACCGATTTCTGCTGCAAACGACGATAAACGTCTTTTCATTTTGTGAAATAACCTGAAAACTGTAGTTGTAACGGAACTCGAAGGGAGATTAAAGCCAAAGTACAGCCGATCACATAGGCGGGGTCGCGTGCATCACTGTGTCTTCGCTCATGGGGCGTTCGCGTAAAAGAAAAAGAAGGGCAATGAAAGGAGCACATAACTAAGCTGCACTCTCGCCCCGATGATCAGTGTGGACTGTGCATTTAAAGGCACTTTTCCGCGTTAAAATAAGGCTATGACCTTTCAAATTGTCAGACGATCCGGAAGGAGATTGCGGAGGCTGCGCTATCTTTAGAAAGTGAAAATCGGCAAGAATTCCGTTTTAAATAACAATTAAGGCCCATGGGCGCCGCCTTGGGCCAACTCGCGACGCCACCAGCCAGCTGCTAGCTACTAGCCAGTAGCCACTATGCTATCTCCCTCCATTCCGAATGGTGAGAGTGAGGTGATACGATAAAAGAGCTGATATCTTTATGATAACGACGAGTGGAAATTCGTACAAACATGCGTTTTCTTCATTGCATGCATGTACAAGTTGGGGTCGATATGGAATCCTATTTAGGGCATTTTCGGCTGTTTTTCTGCTGCTTTTCTCCGCTAATCAGATACCTAGCCCTTTTTCGTTCCTATGTGGGTTCCGTTACCCACAATCTGTGGTCGCGGGCTTTGCCTTTAAGGCAGGCCCGTCGCTCGAACAACTTCTTGAATCGAAAATATTGAAATTTCGATAAAAGATATCAGTAAACCAACCTCCTTTGAGTATCGTAAGCTTCGAGCAATCCTCTTCGACCTTGATGAAGCAATGTTAGCACCAGGTCTCGTGACGGAACGCATGAAGCACGACCTTAAATGCCAGTTTTATATAACATGGTAACAGTGTTGAGATTGAGGGCTGCTTTCATGCTTTACATCCCACCCCTTCTCCTACCGTGACAGCGTGCACTTTGGAATAGTCACTAAATTGCGAATGTTGAACATACCAGTTGGGCTAGCGTATGGTACCGTATACGTGTCAGGGGGAGGGGGCTGGGGATTGGCACAGCGCCAGCCTATTTTCCATCAACTGTTGCCGCCTGCTTGCTTCAAGAATCGCTGCAGAACGGGCTGCCGCGCAACAAACACAGCCCACACGTCCGAGCGTCTGCAGCGAAAACGACTGCACATCTCAATGAGGGTCAGGGCGAAACGTGCAACCGACCATGAAAGCTCTCCAAAGTCACGCGATCACCGCCCTAAAGTCGGGAACTAGTGCTCGATTCGGAGCTGATCCTACCCCACTGAGCGTAGTTTAGCGTAACGCAGCTTCCCACAAGAGGTCTTCCATAGTTCAATATGTCTCCATTCTACGAAACACCTGCAGCAAAATTAAAGGGCATCCATGAAAGCTGTACCGCTGTAAACATGATCCGCCCACTGTGAGCATTTGTTTTTCTTATGTCTTTCTTACCTAAAACCTTGATCACCACTACCGAACTTACTCGCGTTACTGGGCCAGGCTATGGCTGACAGATCCCAAGGAGGAGTAGCAGTTAGTAGTGTTTACAATGTATTCAAAGACGGACTGTACACTCACCTCCGTGAACCCTAGTCTTGCCGTGTGTGTGGAGACTGGGTCAGCTGCACTAACGTGCCATTTTCTCCGCTAAAAAAAGCATGCAAAGGGGAGAAGCCAGTGATCCGCTCGCGCTGGCGCGCGGCTAGCCAGACGCCAGCCATATGCAGTCAAACGCGCTACTAGTCTGGGCTCTCTCACTTCTGATCTTTCCCTAACGTTGAGTGGACATTTCGCTACGGCCGTTGCAAATGCTGCACCGCGAGGATAAATACACTGAAGTCACGTTGGCTGCGGTTTACACTTTGCGGCAGCGTAGCGCTTCCAGCGTACGCCAGCGGCAGTGCCGGGGATAGGATGATATCGATCTAGCTTTCCCAGCGTCACGCTAGCGTACGCTAGCGTTACGCCAGCGTTTCTCCAGCGTTTCACCAGCGTTTTGCTAGCGTTTGCAGCGGCAGGGGAGTAGAGACTATGGGAGAGCTGGAGGGTACAAAACACATCGATTGCGCGTCTCTCACTCGCCCTTAGTCTCTACAATACACATCGCTTCTGCGTCTCCGACGGCCACATAGTCTCTACTATACACATCGATTCCGCGTCTCTGCCGGCCACATAGTCTCTACAATACACGTCGATTCCGCGTCTCTCACGGCCACATAGTCTCTACTCCCTGCCGCTGCAAGCGCTAGCAAAACGCTGGTGCCGCTGGAAAACGCTCTTTTAGAAACGACCCCTGGTGAAGCTTAGACTGGCGATAGCTATGCTTCCCGTGCCCTCGCTACGCCAGCGTGCGCTAGCGTGCCGCTGGTGACGCTGGTGAAGCTAGATCGATATGCATCCTCTCTTCGGCACTGCCGCTGGCGTACGCTGGAAGCGCTACGCTAGGGCACGCCATTGCGTTGTGATCATTTCCTGAAAAATACGACCCCCCCCCCTAATTCCATCTTCAAGTACGACCCCCCTCCCCACGTTACCTCTTCCCTAGATTTTTCCAACCTCCTACCACTTTGTCTATTTTTTCCCAAAAAGTTTCTGGTTTTTTTACAAAATTTGCTGTCGAGCGGGGGGGGGTCGCAGTACCTACGTACGTCCCAAGCACGTCCAGCACTCTGGCGCTGGTGTAGCATACTGACAATACGTACGAGGAAGGGGCGATGATAGGAGCTACGATCACCGCCCACAAGGGCCCCATGAATTTAAAAAACAAGAGGACTCACGACGTGACGATTAATAAACAGATGAAAGTACATTCCCGGACTTTTCTGATCGTAGGAGCACATTTGCTTGCAATTGGGAGGCCCTATCTAGAAGTTACACCTTTCAAACACCTGCGAAAGCCCCATGCATGGCGCATTGCATATGTGATGCCAATTGGCGCCCAATGGCCTATTACCTGATATGCTTGACGAAAACATGTGTTTCAGAAGCATACCAAAGTCTTCGAGCCAACTGGAGGTTTCCTGGCCTCGGAGGGGTTGATTTTTCGGTGTCGTGGGGGGTGATTACAAAATGATCACAACGGGGAATTTTTTCGAATAGTAGGTCTAGGAAGGAAAAACCTTGCTGGAAAGTAGAAATCTTCAAGCTTCCGGCACAGTTCTTTTTTTTACGAAAGGTCGTGTATGAAGCTTGCCATGGACGTCCAAAGCGTAGCGACTCGCGGTTCGCAAAAATGATCACAGACGGATCACAAAGATGATCACAACGGGGAAAATCTCTGGAACCGGAACGTTTTTGAAATCGCTCAATTCAGGTGATAAGAGCCAACCTAGCTCTACTCATTCCCACTTACCCCTCTCCGATAGCTTCACTTTCAACGAAGTTATGGGTGTTCAAATGAGGGGTACTTTTCACGTGTTTGGCTTGAAATTGGCTCCAAACCGTAAAATAGCGCGCACCAATGCGCTTGTATGAGCGCGCTGACCGCGAACAGCCAAAATTCAAAAGTAACCCATAGTTCCGGTTCCCAGCTGAGCGGTGAGTTTTTTCTTATCCTTTTTATTGTGAATTACTTTGTTTGTTTTTGTTGATTTGATATTGTTTTGTTGAGTTTGTTTTGTTGTGAGGAAATTGCTCAGGATTCAATTTCTACGGTTTCATAGGTAGCTTTTGCAATGGATTCTTTTCTAGATTTTGCGGATTAGTGGATTGGGATTTATCTAGACCAGATGAGGAGGGTTGGTGGGCGAAGTGTCTTGAAGTTTTTTGTGAGGAAGGAGGAAAAAGTTTCAGCAATATTTTTTTTAGTTTTTGGCCTAGGAATAGTTCGATAGTGCCTAGTTCTATTTATTGTCATCTACATCGTCCCTTTTGAGCTTCTTTTCACTTGTACCGTGTATCACCGCTCTCTCCACTTCAACATGGGCCATGCGTTTACGACCCCCCCCCCTCCATCGCGGGCAAATACGACCCCCCTGTTGTGATGATCACAAAGATGGCGTGCCCTGGCTACGCTACGCCTGCCGAGCAGTATAAACGCACCCTTACGTGGCACTAACTGCAACGTAGACCCGACACACTCACACATTACAAGGATCGTCCTCGGCGATTAATATACACTCCGCCTTTAGGCATGGGAGAACCCATCAGTACTCTCAGAGCTCACCTACACCGGATAAAATTGGGCTATTGTTTTAGCGGCACTCTGCTTGAATACTCCTATAACAGCTCCGCCGACAGGAACCTAAACAGACATGTTCCAATCAGATTCTTACAGCTTTCTCACCTCCCACTCCGCTCTCCGGCATCTCATTTTTTCGTTTACTCAGCATCTTATGTTGTGTGCCTTTCTAGTTTTTGGATGGAACAATTAATGTAGCACAAAAAAAAACGAAATAGTGAAACATCAAAAAAGGAAACAAACAAGTAAACAAGTAACAAAATAAAATAAATAATAATATAATGAATCAAAAGGGGTAAATAAACAATAGTTAGAACAGTTGAGTAAACTGGAAGTTCGTTTGTCGAGTGATTGTACGAAGGCATCAATGCGTCCAGCTGCTCGGCCCTAGAACAGTCCAGTGAATGAGTAGCAATGCGCACGGGACATCCCTTCCACGTTACTTCAGCGAAAGTGCCTTGGAGCTGAAGCAACTACCCTCTCAATGCCATCAAAGGTAGAATAGCTGGGACTAAAAAAAAGTCGTAGTCAGGATCGCACTATATCTCCAGAAAAAATCCATAAGCACGAAGCACGCTCAGGTACTTCTGCTGGATTTCTGAATGCAGGCGCATACTATGAAAGTTAGATTCTAATCAAGTATTTCATCTAACATCCTCCAAAGCCATCAGCAGCTTGGAGTTCTCAAAACGGAACATAGGCGGAAGGAAACGCTACACTGCCCAGTTCGTTGGGTATCTGAGCGTTCACTCCGATTTCGTTTCACGTCGATTTGTTTGCAGTTCGCTAATCTGGGCATTTGGCTGGAAATTCCCCTTCAGAGTGTGTCCCCCCCCCGAAGCAGGAATATACATCCGCTTCGGCAAAGAAAATGTTCTGTCGCTCGTGCCACAGGTACGGGTGCGACGATGCCCCAAATTAGTAAATTCATTGAAAACTTGCTTCCCAGGTAGTTTGACTTCGTGAACACGAATAACCATTCAACGGAGAGTCAAGTTTGGGCAAGATGGCGTTGTCAATCCAAAATCAAAATCCACCGTGACGTTCCAGGCAGCCTAATTCTGTTCGTGCACACATTTTCCCGGAATAGTGATCTTTTCTCTGCTAAAGCTGTCTTAGCAAGGGGAAAGATCACTATCGCAGGCAACTAGGAAAAGGTGCTATGTGTCTTGTCATGTTTCCCTAACTGCTCTAGCTAGTCACAGAACCAATTAAAGTCCGCCCCACACGAGCCGGGGTCGAAACAGGCATGTAGTGCTGCAACCTGTAGCGCGACGCCAGGCGGTTTCGTGCTAAGCGGATGGATATTCCTGCTAAGAGGTCGAGCTTTCTCTGAAGGCAAACTTTCATCCAAATCTGCCTCTGGAGAACTGAGCCACGCCCGGGTAAAAGGAGCCTCCCACCTTCAGGAGCTGGCCAGCTGTTACCAACTTGCCTTGAAGAACAATGTCACTAACATCATATAACAATTAAAACCCGCAAGGGCAGGATCGCCTCCGAACTGTCGTCACATGTGAAGCAAAATGCGTGCGTACTCACCAACCAAATATGTTGGATGTGTGCCAGATGTCCAGTCCTCACATTATTACCTTAGAGCAAAGCTTGGCTGAATGAATACGGCCGAAATAATTACCGCATTGAGTCTTCGAATGCATTCTTCACTTTGGAGTCCATAGGCATTATTCACAAGATGAGGAACTTGATAGAGCTAAAATTATAGGTTCTGTGTGGTCAGTCACCTGAACAACTTACCACGTACTCACCTGACATATACTAGATATGGCCTCCAATGAATCCGGACTTCGTGGAGAGAAGCAAGAAGTCGTAGCATACACAGAGAATCTGACCCGAGAGTTGGGACCGGAAACAAAACAATGTTGATGGAGTCAAGAAGTTCCGAGATGTCAAGTTGCGCGCGAACGCCTAAGCGCCATGCACCGGCATATTCACACGGATCGCAATTACGATGAATCTCGCCACGCCATCTCGCATTTCCTGGACCACTACCCAGGTGATGAGTTGTGTAGAGTTACTTCAGCGAAGTTCGTGTTGCTCCGAAACAGAATTCTAGGGATACAGCTTGACTTGGGATTTCTTTTTTTGATCTAGTTCCCATCCTAAGGAAAGGACGATTTTTTTTCTTCGAATTCATTCGCAAATGGTGGAAGTAGTGCAAAGAGAGAGTGTCCGAGTTGCTTGGCCAGTGGACCGCAACAATCTGCATCAGCAAAGGCTACTCCCCTATATCAGTCATTCTCAAGCTTGTGGTAGTTCATTTAAGAAGAAAGAAGTCTACGTGGTGGTGATCCATCGACATCTATTTAGGGCGGCTCTGGTTGCCTCGGCTTTACATAGGCTCATCGTGACGGAATGAGAAGACCAATTATATTTTCTCACACGAGAGGCATCGTGAAGGAATGAGAAGATCATTACTATCTCAAAGAGAGCAGCACATTAGCGCAGGACACACCATCGCTGTGGAAACACGAGGGTGGTATTTTGTCGTTAAGGCACGAGGTTGTTTTAGCTTTTGAGTCAGATCCTTCCGAATGCTGATTCTCCACGCGCTCGCACTGCTCCGCAACAAAATTTCCAAGAAAATCGTGATGGGAAGCAAATGAGGTGGTGCGGTCGAAAAGGAAGGTAGTGAAAGGGGGTAGTGCCGAAGAAGGCGACTAGAGGGAGGTCGTACTTTTCAGATTTCCATAGTAAGATGAGCTCCTCCAGTCAGATTATGCGTGGCACTTCTCCTTGCCCTCTGTCCTCACTACGTTAGTGCCGTTCATGCCATCTCTCCAATCGACGTTAGAAGTTATCAACACGATCTTTCTTCACAATCAACTATGAAAAGACCATCACTGTGATCAGAATTACCTCTTCGGCACGTTGTCCCAGAATTCTGTTGACAGTTTCTATATCTGACACCAATGCATCACCGTCGCGTACGGGCTCTACTATCAATGGCTCAAAGCCTGAAAATGTTCGTTTCTTGATTATGGGCTGATCGAAAGGAGTTAGGATTAACTACAATTTTTCAGAAAACTTGAGACACGTTCCGTGATTACAATTCTTAGGCTTGAAGATCAAATTAGGACTCATGGATGACTCGGAAGTTGAAAAATGAAAGACAAAACAGTTGAAGACGCATCAGAAAATCCTCCAGGATACGACGTGCTATCGAAAAGACGAAACACTGTTGCGCGGGCGAGAGGACAGGAACAATGGATGAGCCAATAGAAAGGCGAGCTAGAAGACTATTGAGGGGACAAGTACCGGCCCTAGAGCAGAAGATGTGCCAGCGGTAGTCCTGTATCTATTAACACCGGTAAGACGCAACGCGCCATACCTGTATTTATAGATGTAGGACCATAGCTGGCACATCTCGTCTTCAGATGGGTGAGGTACCTTCAAAGGGTGGCGTCTCTCCCCGGCTGGTGACCCTGCAGCGATTCCGCCACTCAGTGTCAAGCTGCGGAGGGACGACCTTCGAAACAGGACTATTGTAGAAGAACGGCTCCACCTCTCAAATGATCACGGAATCTTTTTAAGTTTAGAAATAGGATATAGTAATTTCTCAGTATCCAGGCTACCCCGTACAACACAGCGAATATAGATACCTGCGTGGAAAATCGACTTGAAGCAGGATTTCTGGTCGACTCGCAGCCATAGAACGTATTTCGCTTCGGGTCTCAGTCGCCTCCACGATCCCATGCACAACGATAGGGCCATTCCAGTACATATAGGAACGACGAGGGCGGCTT